TTGAGTAGTGGATCATAATAATGATAGAACTTTGAGGGCGACGAATTATTTTTGACTTTGATTGCGATCGAGACCACCATATTGACCAATAAACAACTATGTTTACACAAGGAAAACAAAAACAATTGCGAGCACATGTATGGATGCTCGAAATATTAATATGGGAGTGAAGTAAAGAAAAATTAAAAGTATATAACGCACTGATGAAAGGTATTGATAAGCCTTACAGCGTGGGGCTCGATCGTTGGCAGCGCAATACAGCGTATTATTATAGTTTTAGGCTTGTTTCAGGGCAAAAAGTCGACTCGAAGACTCGCGCACTTTTGCGGGGGGGCTCCCATTATAATTAGCTCGACGCTCGCGTATATATAACGCAAATGGAACGTCAGTTGCCCGAGATCCCTCGGCCAACGTATAATACAGCATATATATTCTTCAATTCAATCATCATTTAGGTGCGTCGATTAGAATTTCGCTCTACCATCTCTCTTTCTCTTTCTCTCTCATTTTCATATGTATGAATAACTGCGAGTATTACGCATATATAATTGCACGAGGTTTTATCAGGCCAGACTATCTGCGTAAAAATGTGCTATATGCTATATAGATGCGGTAGTGCTGCGCGTGGGTTCTCCTCAAGGGGGCGGCCTTCTCCCCTACACACGAGGCCAAGAGGGAGCATTAGCATACGCATATATACCGACCTACGTATTCTCTCGTGTATCTTGGCCAGTGGCACTAGTGACGCGCAGGCCTATATATACGTGTACCTTGGCTACCTATGTAGATACGCGCGTACCACCTCGTGGATCTATTGCGAGGGTATTCAGGCGGGCGCACGGCCAGGACGACTCCGTTATGTGTATCTGCATGCGGCAAATTTATATACGCACGTATATTCACACACACACACGTAGACGAAGTGGCGCTACACCAGCACACGGCTCGTCGTCTCGCTGCGGCTTCGTTTTATCCATAAGCCAACGGCTCACCATAGAAACGGCCCTGCCGCATACGCGTTCGGCGCGCGATTCGGCGATCCACTCCTGCACTGATCGACCTGTAAGGGCAAAACGACAAATATTATATTGCGGCCATGATGTTATTCTGTAAACGAATTTATGATGTCTCGGCCTCATTTTTTACCAACTCTGAAAATGTGTACTTGGGTAATCCTTTTTCACGCCAATTTAATCCGTTTGTTTTCTCGAAATCAAAATAAAAAATTTCGATTCTATTTTTCGAGAGAACTTTCGAATAAGTTTGAATAAAATTTATTATAAATTTATTATAAAAAAGTCATGCAACTCTACATTTTAGGGTTCGGTCAATAAAAATTAAAGATGTTGCTTCAACTTTGACTTAAAAGCATTAGCAAATTAAAAAAGTTTCCTATGCGTGACCATTTAAATCTGTTAGGATATATAAGTCATTTTGATCATATAGATAACATGTAATAAAATTGAGTTTTTAACGAATCATGGCTTGGTTTCAACTCCTACCACTAGATGTCCACTATGAAACCCACATGAGGTCGACTTTGGATTTTTGTATAAAACTGAGATCTGAATCACAAAAAATTATGAATTCATTTGTAGTATTTTTGTGGGCTTTCGAACTACGAGAAAGTTTTAGGCACACGAAGCGCTTTCGATAGGGTTAATATACGTCGTATCGGCCGTGCACATTGTGTACATTACAGGAGCTGTGCAGGTGACTCGGTGCCGGTGGCGCGTATCGGTAAACATTTCGTATAGCAGCTCGAGTAAAGACGAATCTGCGCTTGGCCAGGCGCTTGGCGGCCTTTCACGCTATGCATATGCGGCTCTATATCGATCGGAAGTAATCGTCCTGCGACTTTGATGGATAGGCACTCGGCGCTGCCGGCTGGACTGGCCAAGCCAAAAGTAATGCAGCTTGGAAAATTGCAAGGCTGCACCAGAGCCGCGCCAACGGGCCGACCGCTCGGCAGTTATTATTGTACATACATTTCGAAACGCCTCGTCCTCGGACAAGGTAAGAGATCGATATTATGCAACGTAGTACGTTGTATTCGTGTAGAGCCGGCCAAGGAGTCGTTAGATCAGCAGCAACAGACACTCGAGTCGACTCGCGAATCGCCGGCGAGCCTCCTTTACGTACGTGTGCATTGTGGTGTCTGTATACCGCAGTTGGTCGCATGCGTCGATCGTATTATCGGGCGTAGGTGCGTCTTCCGACGGAAAGACGACGATTCGGTTCCCAGGCGAGCGCGCGATCGGGCCCACGACCAGGGCCGATACGATTCGCGTGACAACGAGCGACGCGGATAACCGAAAATCTCTCGTGGCTCAATCGTCGCGTCGCGCGGAAGTCAGTCACCGAGTCACGCACGAATGTGCTACCACTGTACATCCTCGACTCGTTCGAGCTTCTCCTTCGGCGCAGCGAGAGAGAAGAGGAGAGAAAGAGAGGAGGAATCGGCACGTCCGCAGCGTCGAGCTGCCTATGAAACGAAGCGTACGTTGACGTGAGCCGATGCGACCAGTGAGCGGGCGAGCGATTCATCGACTCCTTCGACGATGACATTTGATATCCGACTCTCTCGCTATAGTTTGCTCGATCCTTCTTCTCTCTCTCTCTCTCTCTCTCCCTCTCTTTCTCGTGAATGCAGCCGGCCGAGGGCTCGGGCCCAAAGTACACACTCGTAAATAACAATTAGCCTCGGCGAGCACGGCACAGCTTGGCAGAGAGAGAGAGAGAGAGAGAGAGAGAGAGAGAGAGAAAATCGGCGATCTTGCGGCGCTAACTAAGCGACGGCGGCTCGACGGCACAACTGCAGATCGAGAGGATTAATAGCCGGACCACAGCGTTTTTTCATCTCTCGTTAGCTCGAACGTGCGCACATAAGCTTATTTAATATTTTATTCACATTTATATTATTATACGTAGTCGGGAATATCGGAGACGCGAGGCCAAAATGAATTTTTCGATTCATTGTTGGCGCGATCGAGCTCACGGAGCAAAAATAATGGAGCTCGATTTATTCTAGTTAGCACGTGTGCGAGTCGAGAGAGCAGCCAAGTAACCCAAGCATATGTATATGCGCTCGTATACAAATTGCGCCTCCATCTCCGTATACTTATGTACACCTATAAATAACAGCTTTCACTCTCTTGGGCCGCGCAAATAATTAGCTCGTATCCATGCACGCATACACTCGAGAGCTCGTGCGTCCGTGTGCGTACATGTACACGTAGTACGCACCGGCTCGAGATGTAGACCCACAAATGTATACACGTTGTAATAAACATATTATACGCATTGGAATCGGCAGCGACAGCAGCTGATATCGAAATTAGTGTATGCCTCACATGCAGATTTGTATCGCGTATACGTCCGACAGGATTGGGGCGTGCCCCGTGCCCAGAGCCGCCGCGCAATTATTATTATATTATCGACAGATCTGTATATGTATGCACGCAGTCGCTCTCGCGGCAGCGGCTCACCCCGCACAAACTCGCTCTATCATCAATATTCGCACCGCTGCCACAAGCACCTTCGTCCTAGCATAGGTAATCCTTAGAAATTCATTAGGCCGCGTACGCGGTCTCTTTAATTTGATTAAATTATTTCCTTTTTTTTTTTACTTTTTGACTCTACACACAATTGGTTAATTGATTTGTTACGGGTGCTCGCGCGACGAGCGATACGCAGCGAGTGTGCAGGCGTCGATCAATCAAGCTCGGTGATGAATCGCGTCGATGTATCAGCCTCGATGTATATACGTGCTCTGGCTCGCGACTCGTGTACAACACATACACAGGCGTGAAAATTGATTCATGACTCGGCGCTCTTCGCTCTATAGAGACGCGTGCCGCTTGATTAATCCCTCAACGATCCCGCACCTCGTCCGCGGCAAAACTCGACGTTCTCTCTCTCTCTCTCTCTCTCGCTTACTCGTGACGGCGTATTTATGTATACGCTCGGCCGCGCATAAAGCTATTAGTTATGAATCGTAATCGCTCAATTAGGAGCTCGGCGCCTGCATCTCTCTTCCTCCCTCTTTCTTTCTCTCTTTCACTCTTCTGCGGCTGCGAAGCTATTCTTTATGACTATTTGCGCAGCGAGCTGTCCCGAAGATCGCCTCGGCGCGGTGAATATTGTAGGTCATTCGCTCTTCCTCTCCCGTGTGATATGGCTCTTGGGCGGCAATCTCGAGCCGTACCTACTCCAGCCCGAGCGCCCGAAGGCTTATCGGCGGCCCGAGTCATTATATTTGCTTAGCCGCGCGCGATTGTTAGGATTTATTAGCCACGGCGCGTCTTTGAAGTGCGCCCGACTCGGCTCTCTCCTTGCGCCCTCTTCTCTTCCTCTTCTTGCGGCACAATCGAGTACTCGAGCGATCGCATTGTGCCGCGGATAAAGTCGTTTCAGCTCGAATCAAATGCGCAGGCAGTATCTGCGTTACTTTTACACACGTTTGAGAAGGATAATTCGGCGGACGGGGCGCGGATGAAAATTAGCCTCGTATGCACACTACTTGGGCGTAAACGCTCCGTATGTATACACTCGCTGTAATCGTGTAATATATAAATATACGCGTGTGCTTTCACGCGTGACTGGCCCGGAGTGACACTTCCTCTTTGCTTTCGGCTGGTCGGGCCACCTGCTCTCTCTCTCTCTCTCTCGCTGCACAAAATTTCCCCCTCGCGCGCCGCCAGTATAAAATGTATACGGTCTATTGCTCGCGAGCGCGCGGCTGCAGAGACTCTCTCATTAAGAATGCAGTGCGATCGAACTGCCCCATGGCACAAATGGCTGGGCACGATTATCTTCGTTGCAACTCGAGAAAATTATTCCAACGATCGTTTCTTCGGCCAATTATTGCGGGGACTTGATTTTTTTCTCTTATATTCAATTTTAATTAATACATTTTAGAATATATGAGTTAGAAACAAACGTTTCACGTTGAATAATGGATCGTTTTAATACCGATTTTGATTGTTGTTACAGTGGCGATGCACAAGGACAAGGACGAAAACGCGCATCACGACTCGCACTACCGGGCTCGAGAACTGGCCGCTCTCGCAGCCTACGATCACCAGCATCTAGACGGTGAAATGTTCCTCCAGGTACGTACGACAAAATATCATCGGCTACACATGATACATTTGGGTTTATCCCTCGGCGAACGTGGACCGAAGATCGGCATTATACATCTCAATCTCGAGGATGAAAAAGCCGCGAATACGGGGGGCTCCGGGGGAGGCCGTGTTGCATGGCCGTTATTCATCGTTGCCCCGCATAAATAACTCGCCAGCCAATAACGCGCCGATACGTGTATATTAATGCGTGTAATATCACAAGTGGCCCTAGCCAGGTTACACGCGAGTGGATCGCTCGACTGCCGCTGCATATAATGAGCGATAAATCGGTATATATGTGCGAGAGCTCGAGCAAAGATCCTCGGGTAAAAGGTCGTGCGAGGTGTTCTCCGAGCTGTGTACTCTGCGCGCGATCATCGGAGCTCGCTCGAGTGTGCAGTAAGAAGAGAGAGAGAGTAAACGCGCACCGATTAATGGCGCCACGACATGCGAGGCCCATTCATTGAAAAGCTCGACGCGAGACCCGAGTAATTGCCAAGAAAAGTCGCGCGCGCCGACCGAGATCGAGTCCTACGTGTCTTCGTAGCTCTCAACTCTTTATTTTTCTGTCTGTCGTCGAGCCGTGCTGCGCACCAACTGCTGCTGAAAACGTGTATTTATCACGCTTAGCGCAGGTTGGAAAAAAATGGCTAAATTTAATCATCCGACGCAGCAGTCAGAAATCGCTAGCATATAATGACTTTACGATGCAAGGATACTTAACTTTCGGCGGGAAATTTTGGAAGATTGGTATAGTGGGGCTTATTACAGAAGCGGCCGAGCGTCGGTGGCTCGCGCAATAAACTCGATGCGCTGCGCTCGACGGGTGCAGTTGTTGGTCCCGATGCGCTCGCAGCTCTAGCTGTTCTTTCTCTTGCTCCGTCGAATTGTTTTGTTGCTGCTCTCGCGATGTATTCGTGTGTGGATCGCGTATATATAAAAGTATATTACGAGTTGGCAGCTAGTGTATATGGCAGCTTTGTTTCGCGCGTCCGAGATCGTGCATATATAAAGTAAGAGAGAGAGAGAATACTTGTTGCTTGAGAGTAGTTGCTCGCATGTCCAAGCTTTAGGGCTCGAGCGAGCAACAAAACACACATCTATGCACGCCAATCTAGTGTGGCAGCAGCAGCAGCAACAGTAGCTGTGTGTGTAAGTGCACCATTAATTTCAGTCGCGAGCGCGTGTGTCGCGTATTACCTTCCGTACATGCATGCGCTGTATATATAGAGATATTCGCAACACAAGTGCGATGTAGTGACTCTATTATTGAGCTCTGCAGACGTTCGAGACAGCAGCAGTGTAAGAGGCCGCGGATCGAGATGCTGCTGTCGTTGAGCAGGCTGATATATATAGTTGCCCGTTGAATATTCAACGCTCATCGCGATTGTCGCTCGAGCTTCGACACCTTCTCTCGAGTATATGTATCTGTGCGAGGGTCCGTTCGCCTCGTGCTGCATCGAGCTCGTGTATAGACGGCGATGCACAAGTTCATTGTGGTGCGCCACTGCCGGGGCTGTTAATGCTGTACTGCCGTTAGCTGCTAGTGCTGTTCTCTGTGGCTATGCAAAAGTCCTCGTCCGCAACAGCCAGCCATAGCGTATACTCTAAAAACAAGCGCTGGCCTAGGCTGTACGAATTCAGAGCCGCAGTACGTGTAGCAGTACTTACGTGTGAAACGCGTGCGTGTGTGTAGACGGCCAGTTCGCTGCAGTCCCTCTCGGCGTCGGCCTGCGCGGCTGTATTGATCGGGCGGCGTCGCGCTACCTTGGCTACGACGAGCCTGCCGTGCGCCGCAGCCATGGCTAGGATTAGCCGATATATATATCTGCTCGCGCCTACCTACGTACAATCGGACGCACGTATAATGCTACTACTGTATGCTAAGGTTGCCTCGTTCGACGGGGGGCCAAAGGGTATAAACGCGTCGATACGTAAGCCGAAGAAGGGAAAGCTCGGGCGGAGGGGGCGGCCAGCGCTACCGAAAGCTAAGCTGCCCTGCTCTGCTGCTGCTGCTATGTGGTCAGCAAGCAGCTAGCACGCCGCAAGTGGCCCAGAGTCAAGGTGAGCCTTTGGCGAGCATTTGGCCATCGTGGCTGCCTACACACACGCGAGTCGACTCGATAACGTTACGTAAGCCTAAAAAGGACGATCGAATGAGTTGCGCGAGCAGAGTCGAGTCCTGCGGCTCGTATATATGTTGGAGCTGGCACGCGACGCGATCTCAAAGATCCACTGACCCCACGAAACAAGTATTATTCATACGATATACGAGCTTTAGTGAGCTTACAGCTTTTTTGCCCCAATACTACCATATGTCCAAATGCCAAATGTTAATTCAGAGTATACATGTTGATAAAGTACGTTTGAATTTCAGGCACTCAACGGCTTCCTACTCATACTGAGCTGCGACGGCGAGGTGTTTTTCGCCACTCACAGCATCGAGAGTTACCTCGGCTTCCATCAGGTACGTAAAAAAAGTTGCTCATCTCCTCGATCTTTTTCCTCCTTCGAAGCTACTGTGTGCTCTAGGCATCGATACTTGACACTGCTTTCTTTGCCATGTGCACACACCCATACGTACAGGTATAGAGTACAGGCATTGTTATAATCGCTCGCATCGAAAGAGCTGCAACGGATCGCGTGTGTGGCGCTCGAGTACCATATAGCATGTATAAGAGAGTGTACAGTGTACCTCGCAAACGAGACTCGCGTGAGAGATCGAGAGCACGTGCTTCGGCTGATCAGCTGACTAAATGTACTCGCGTACGTGCTGCTGCCGTTGACTGCACGCAGCATAAGCAGTGCCAACGCGAGCCGTGTTTACGCTTTGCGTACCTACGACGCTCCCGATTGAAAAGCAAAAAGGCCACTCCGATTCGCGCCGATCCCGCCGTGCGCCCGCGACTCTACGGATCCCGATCTGCGTACAAAGATGCGCGGCGATCGAGACCCCGAGGCTCCGGCTATGAATCTTTCTCACCTTTCAACTTGTTTCTCTCCCTCCCTTCGTCTCTCATAATTCTGGCGAGTAATTGAGAGCTCAGCATCTCCCCCTCGAGACGCGCGAGCAGAGCCGAGCTTTTCACTGGCGCGCTGCACTCGATTAATTATTATTGCCTTCGCCGCGGCCATTCGTGTATATAATACAAATGTTATATGTGTGCTGCTGCTGCCGCTGCTGCTGCAGTAAGTTTATGCCGTAGCAGCTTTTAATTTTCGTTCGCGGGGCCACTTTCATCGCACCGCCTGTTGCAAATTAGCCGGGCGCTTATTACGAGCAGCCGAAGCGAGCGGTCGATTAATTGAAAATATCCTCCAAGGATTATTGTTGTTGTAATCAGGCTTACACGATGTTATGGATGTTTGTGGCGCTCGGCGCGCAACAATATCGGCATAACGACGCGCAGTGTGAGAAAATCCTTGGGCGCACTTGATTCGCGCGTTCGTCTTTCGACCAAAAAACAAGAGCATTAGCTGTTTGTACTCGTGTTTCGGTAGCTGCAATGCATGTACTTGTAGTTTGCTCACTTGGATCGAGAAAGAGAAAGAGAGAGAGAGAGGGAGAAAAGAGACAGCGAGAAGTCTCGAGCAGATTGATAAAAATCACGTTAAAAGTCACGAAAGCCCTCGTTACAGAAGCAGCCACTCGTATAGCTGTTATTTTGCCCACGACGACGACGACGACGACGACTCAAGACGATTCTGTTCTCACTTGATTCAGCCGGTTCGCGAGAGCTTGCACTGCCTGCAAAACAGAGTCTCTCTTTTTACGCGATAGATCGGACCCGGCTTAAAGTAAGAGTAAGCGAGAGAGAGACGCGACACCGAGCGTGCGAACGTTGCCTCTAGTCGTGGGAAGAAGAAGAATAGCCGATCTGGCCTCGCAACTCGCTCATTTATATACTTGTGGCCTGCTGCTGCTGCTGTTGCTCGGTATTCGAGAGAGTATAAGCCTCATACAAGGTATACATACACACGGCACGGCGAGTGCATCTCGCGACGTTTTTACACTTTCCCGACGACCCGCTCGCGCGATCCGTCCCAATGCAGCAGCCCGAGGCAGCGAGTCGAAGAAAAAAACATTATATGGGAGCGCTCGTGTGCCGCCCGCAGCAGCAAGCGATATATTTTCTCTCTCAAATAAATACACTTTCTTTCTTTTTTCTTTCTTCTTGACAATGAGTCGAGGTGTCATCGCGCGACGCTGCACTGCGCACGTCTTTATTATGCATACATATATACTTATATGGCTCTTATATACGAGCTAATACAAGTTGTCTGGGGTGCCGGGCGCGAGCGCATGAGAGATACAGATATGCATAGTGAGTAACTGCTTGTCAAGCGAGTCACAAGCCGAGCACTCGCCTTTACACAGAGAGAGAGCAGACAGGCTTATACCTTAATAGAGTCGGTCCGCAAAGTCAATATTGTAGAGAAGAAGTGCAGTAGCTGCACCGTAGGCCCGTATATAATATATAATAGATCGTGATGGGCGTCGCGCACTCGCTTCTCTGCGCCTTCTTTTTCTTCGTCCTCTTCCTTCTTTCCTACCGTGCCCGTAGCTTCGTACAGGTACGTATGTTTTTTGCTCCTTCTTTGCTCGCCTCGCGCGGCTCATCCTCTCTTTCCTCTCTTTCAGCTTTTATGTATGCTGCAACCTATGCTACCCGCACGGACGTACTTTCCGTGATTTCTCGGTAATCGGACTATGGGCAATCACCCTCTTACTCTGTATATACTGCACGAGCACACTCGGCTCGCTCAACGTAATATACGTAGTATATAAACGTAGCCTACCTATAGTGATTGTTCAATGTGTGTGTGTGTGTGTATTATACATAGCTATCCTACTCCCGACGTAATGCAACTCTTTAAAAATGCATTAACCATTCGACATGAATTGCTATGGTCCGTGTAAGTGTCCGAGTGTACGTGTGTGCATGCTCACCCCTGCGCGAGCCAACGAGCTGCAGAGCTCGTACGTGTATAGTGTCCAAGCTGCTGCTTTCCTATGCCGCCGTCGCTTATGTGTACATTTACATAGATATGTACCCCTATACGTACACAACTTGACTTACACACACACACGCACCAACACATGCATGTAGACGTATAATACGTTAACTTTACGTACACATTATATGGAATTCGACTCGTAGACAGTATACACTCACTGCGCCGTTTATGAGCTGCTTCGATTTTATTACCTTATTATAGACTCGGCTGTTATTTCTCTGCGTGTCCATAGCCTGCACCCGCCCTTTTATGTGCAGCTCATACACAAACGCATACAGCTCGAGCTGTCCTTTTACCGTATAATTCATAAACTGCACTTTGCCAGTGTATCGACCAACTGTCAAAGTCTCCAAAAATTATATCATCTTGTTGAACTGATATTGCCAATCGATGCTATTTTTATTTATATTTTCTTTACTAATTTTTCATTTAAAGATTTTTAATAGTCATCATAACGTGCACTGACGTTTTTTTAAATAACGATAAACTTAATGCAGATAAGCTACATTGATTTATCGGTGTATTCAATGACTCCATGCTCGATCGTTTATATGAACAAATCATCAAGTTTCAACTAACTTTGTCATTAGTTCGATCGTGTTTTACTTGTTCGTTATTTTATAATTTAATAGATATGTTCATTTTTAAATTACGACTTTGGCTAAAAATTATATGTCTCAGCACCTGTACGTTCGTGTCGTTACATTAACTTTTTTCATTATTCATTCGTTCAATCTTAATGGTATTCGTTAAAAATCATCACTAGATTTCTCGTGCCTCTTCGTTCTTGCTAAAACGACGAGTGAGAGTACAATTTGATTTTCGAATTTTCTTTCCCAAATCTCCACCACGCTACCAGCGGATACTTTTCATTGAACCAGTAAAGCGTCAAAAGGAAGTAGTTCCAAAACGATCGTACGATTATTCCGACGAGAGGTAATCCTGAAGATAAAAGAGATCCTTCAAGTTAGCCATAAAAAAACTCACGATAAGTTTGGATTACCTATTAGATAGAAAATTATATTTCGGTAGAAAACATTGATCCAGCTCCATAAGCCCAAAGACTTTGTATCTGAAACAAATGGAAAAATTGTAAGCATTTAAAATTTGCAGATCGGTTGAAAAGCTTACATTTGTCGTTATTCAATTTGTAAAACAGAGTTAGAAACGCATCGACGTCGAGCATGGGGTCGATGCTCTTCAAACCATCTAACGCCGCCTTGGTCAAGAGCAAAAAGCTCGGCTCGGGCGCTTGCAGGCACTTCTTGTAAACGTCGTCGCGTATGATCCTGCACAGCTGCGTGGTCTCCTTCTCGTTGCCTCGGCACAGATTCAATCTATAATGTAAAATCCATGCATCGTTAAATTCTCGAGTCGTCTTGGAAAATTGAAATTGATTTTATGAATTATTTAATCGTACTCGTCCGGTATACCGAGCAGATGTCCGGTGACGCGCCAAAAGTGATTGAACGCCTCGCGGTCCTCACGGCCATCGGTCAGAGACAGGTCGCCGGGCGACAGCAGCACGTAACCGAGGAATCCGAATTGCGTGAGCACCATGTCGTAGTGTGTGATGCCCTGGTCTTTCCTGTTCCGCAGTCTGGCCGAGGTCGTCGAGTGCTTCCACCGGATAGTGTTGAGCGATTTGTAAAATCTGCAAGCAGCCGATCATCGCTTTTATTATATCTTATTTTACACGATTCGAATATGTATATATTGTGGATCTCTTACTTGGACTTGGGATCGAGAACGTCGCAGCGATGCATGTAGTGGACGTGAAGAAGCGTTTGGAAGTATCGGCGAAAAGCCGTGCACGGCGTGGAGCTTTGATTCGTGAACGTTAAGACCTGCGCGCAAAAAAAGTTTCAAGTCAATTCGATTACAGACGCGCGCGTAAACGATCATTATTGTCTCTCTCTCTCTCTCTCTCTTTCTCTCCTTACCTTGGCTATCGTAGGCGCTAAAAAAACCGCGATGAGTCCGACCGAGTAGGCCGTGATCACGCCCAGCACGTTTTTACTGTAATAATCCTGTCCCCTGCATATAAGGAAGATAATATGATACGAAAATTATACGAGAGAAGCAGCCAATGAAAGTATAAAAAAATATATCATGATCGTGCTTGCGCGCTGCTTACCGTTTGAAAAGCTTTGAAAAGCCAGGCCGGCAGATGATCGATTCCGATTCTGGAGGCGTCCGAATCGATGCATCCTTTGCTCGTAAAAATCGCCTTGAAATGATCCTCTACGGTGTCCGCTTGCGCTGTTTGTCGATGATTAATAAAATATAACAATTGTCAATGTTGGTGCATAGAGTTGTATCATTATAGAAGTGCGTGCAGCGCTCGTGCTCGCTCTCTCACAAAAACACAGTCTAGCGTACATTAAAAAGTCCTTTCTCGCTTATCTAATTCATGTATATGGTGCATTATTTCAAAAGCGTGATATGACGTCTTGCTATCGTAGCTATTAGAAAACTTAATAAAAATGAAAACTAAGACGGTAGAACCTTTCATTTTACCGAATTCTACCTTCCGCAACTATAAAATTTCTATAAATTACGAACAAATTGATTTGCCAGTCGGATAAACATGCAAAATGTGCTGGCCTCAGTGACCTGTCCTGAACTCAGAATCGATTGTTTTCACTCATTAAACACATTTTTACAAATATCCAGCAATATTGTGGTACATTGGCCCTATTCTAGACATTCTAAATAAAGTTTTTTTACGTCACACGTCATCTGAAATAGTCTAAAAACCATTGTACATAAGTAACAAATGTGTCCTTAAATTATATGAAATTTTACATCATTTCAATTATAGGGCCAGTAAACGTGCTAGACAGTCATTCTATTTATATGACTATATCTATCTATATGATCTAACTATATGAAGGTCATCTTTCAGAACTAAGGTACTCGATTTTTACCCGTAGAATATTCAAATCTTAATTGCAGCTTCGCTATAATAATAGTTGCACACGAAAATCGTACTAGTAAAATAAAATGCCCCTCCGTGATCGACGAATTTTGGAACTAGCACTTTTTGTTTTAGACTCGGGTGGCATGAAAACGTCCATTTTTACAAACAATTTTTGTGGGTAATCGAAAAAAAAATTTCAACTTTGTTGTCGTAAAATTTGATAAAAGTGCGATTTGTCTCCTCCGTGACAAAATTTCATGTTTGGAACATGAAAATAAACGGATTAAATGATGACCGATAAAAAGTAAATATTCCATAAAAAAACAAAGAATCGAGTGTCAGAAACTAGGGGGGTCCAGAAAAATTAAACTCAAAATAGAAAAAAGTAAGTTTTTCGGTTTTTCCAATATTGTCCATTTTACACACTCCAAATATCACACTTTTGAAATAATGGACCATAAATACAAGACTCACCGCGGTCGATTTCCGATTTTTTCTCCTCCATCCTCGACGGTGCGTGTACGTCTTCGACACTCTCACTGCTTGTACTGTGTACCTTTATTTACTTCAATTGGCTCGCTATCGTTTAGAACCAAACAATGCTGCGCTTCATTTATATAGTCGAACGAAGCATGCAGAGTACAAGACCGGTTTTCCTGCCGCGCACAGCCAACGAATCGTAGTAGTAGTATAGTAGCAGTAGAGCGTCAGTTTATAAAATAACGCGAGCGAGAAGCGATATCGAAAAATGTATAATATATACACTGAGAAAAATATTCAGTTACAGTTACTCATTTCTGCGAGTAGAAGTTACTAGCGCCTCCGTTCGCAAACGTTACCGACTCATTAGTAGTTTTTACTAATATTTTGGTAACGCTGCTTTGACGTGCACGCCAACACCGTCATACGCAACCTATGTATAGATAGGTATAGATTATGCTATAATAGTAAAAGTTAATATTAACGGATGTTTTTGTGCAGCAATTCCTCTTCAATAATAATTTCAGAATTTGAAAGGGAAATTAGACACTTAACATAAAGTATAATTTGATTATACCAATATGACAGACGCTCGATAGGCAAAATCACGCTACGGCGATGTTTAATTTGCCGTATCATGTAAAAAAAATGCCCTATATTTACGACATATTTCTATAATATTCTTGAAAGTATTGGGATAATTGTTTTATGTTTATAAAAATATATAAATCTTTCCAGACGTCCGAAAAAAATGATTGAAAATAAGACGTTTCAATGAATGTTTTTGTCTCATTCAATCGAGGAAAGTCTGTTATGAATTTTCGAAAATGGAAATTATTGCATCATAACATTAATCAAAAAGGTCTAAGGAAAGCGTGTATAAAGTTTTAAATCTAATGGGTTATTCAAATAAAAGTTACAAACAAATAACCCAAGGCCGCTCGAGATTTGAGATTACGGGTTTGAATGAAACGCATGTTAACGCTTTGGTTTTTCAAATAACTTTTGTTTAAAGAAGCGAAACGTCTTTAAACTTTATACACGTCTTGCAATACTTTTTCAATAAATATAAGTATTATTGAAAATTTTATTTAAATAAAAAATTTTTACTAATGAATTGAATTCAGTGCTATAACATAAAAATCACAACCAAGTTATCTTAGTATTTCCGAAAATTGTGTATGTTCACATAATATTATAATGAAAAAATAATTCAAGAGCTTTATTCATAAAAAACGACAGAGAGGAAATTGTTATTAATGGAATTAAACTATTAGCCATTGAAAAGAAAGAAATGATTAAGTAATATTTTTCCGATGCGTTAAGTATAAAATTGAAAAAAATACGATTTGTATTAATTTTCAGTAAAACTTAAAATGCACAATCAGAAAGAAATTTTTTAATTGAAAAAAAAAGGCAAAAGTTTAGCAGAGCGTGGTTTCGATCCACGGACCTCTGGGTTATGGGCCCAGCACGCTTCCACTGCGCCACTCTGCTTATGACTTCAGTGCTCCAAAACGTCCTACATGAATGTGCGGTGATGCGCAGCTTTCCCCCTCTCCGCCTATATGCGTCATCGGTAGACGAGCAACGCGCTTCCAAAAATAACTCTCGCATCTCTTCTCCTCTGTTCTCTCGACTACTCTCAAATGTTGGATATTTTATAAATATATTAATTGTTGGTTTGTCTACAGTCGGACATTGTACACCAGAGCGTGTACGAGCTGGTGCACAGCGAGGACCGCGAGGAGCTGCAGCGCCAGCTGATGTGGAACTCGTTCCTGCCGGCCGACAGCTCGAACATGCCGCTGCACGAGGCTCTGGCACCCCAACAGGCGCATCTGCTCGAGCGCAGCTTCACCGTACGCTTCAGATGTCTCCTTGACAACACATCGGGCTTCCTCGTAAGTATTTACTTTACAATATAAACATCCAGTGTTACATGATTCAGGACTTTGCGTGCTTCCCCGTTTAAATGCCAATTTAGCCGATATATTTCACCCCAAAGTACAAAAATGTTGCGTAAAAGGGTATGTATGAGCTAGCTCAATGACGGTCGCCTCGGATCGGAATATTATTCAAATGCGCGGGTGCAAAAAGTAGCGAGACGCACACATTTGCTTATTACCTTTCGCGCGCCGTAGGGAATTCAAAGTACGCCGCCTCTGCTACGCACACCTATATACATACAGTAAAAGTACGCAGCAGAAAGCATAATAATTAATAGTTGCTGAGGACATCAGCGGACGAGCAGAGCCAACGTCATTATTCTCTTGGGCCATAATTACTTTTTCGCGCCCCTTTCCTGCCTATACACGAAGCGGCCGTGCATTTTACCTTTTTACCTTGCCCTCGACGATCCCATCTTTTTCGTTTTAACTCTCTGCCACTGTACTCGTGTGCGAACGCGCGGGTGACAAAAAATGTCTCTAGCGCTGCATTTTTTCGCGACGTTTCATTGTGCCCCAACTCGAGATTTTCTTTCCTCTATCGACGGCTCGCGCGTCATCGAATCCCATAGCCCATAACGCACGCTTGTTTCCACTGGAAGCAGATTAATTAACGAAAAACGTAACTTAGGTGTAGAGCTTATATAATACTACATAATGTAGCAGCGAGAAAACGACAGAAGTGAAACTTGGTAAAAAAATTGCAGACTTAATTAGAACTCTTGTGTCGGTGTCAGCTTGAGAGGCGCGAGCAGAACACAAATCTCGAGCAAGTGTCAGAAATACAGGAGCCGACTCTTAATTATTCGCACCCGCTAGCAGAAACAAAGACGACCCTTACCGGCTTCTATGTTTGTACTGGTAATCGAGCCGCTCGACGAACCGAAAAAAATGCCAGAGTCGTAAAAGCGAAGAAGAAAATCGCGCGCCGCAGCGAGGCAAAAAGTCGAACGTTTATGAAAATTAAAGCGTAATCGTAAAAGTACGGCTGATATTCGCTTACGGTAGCAGTGCAGCGTAGTAAAACGATTGTCGGGCTCCCTTTTGCGCGCTAATGACGCGAGGATGAGCGTTTTTTTATCGTGCGCTGCACCAGCTCACAAGTGCTAAACAACAAGTGTGCGCTATATGCTACATATATTTATTAATGTTCGCAGCGACTCGACATAAGAGGCCGGGTGAAGGTGTTGCACGGCCAGAACCGCAAAACCGAGGAGCCGCCGCTGGCGCTGTTTGCCCTGTGCACGCCGTTCGGGCCGCCGTCGCTGCTCGAGGTGCCCCAGAAGGAGGTCATGTTCAAGAGCAAGCACAAGCTCGACCTCGGCCTCGTCTCCATGGACCAGCGCGGCAAGATGCTACTCGGCTACAGCGACTCCGAGCTGGCCAATCTCGGCGGCTACGACCTCGTGCACTTTGACGATCTCGCCTACGTCGCCAGCGCCCATCAAGAGCGTGAGTTGACTCGCACTCCTGTACTTATTTATAACCGACTCAAAAGATACTAATTTTTTAATTTTACTTCCGTTTGTGTGTGGCTGTTGCAGTGCTGAAAACAGGAGCTTCCGGCATGATAGCCTACAGGTACCAAACGAAAGACGGCGGTTGGCAATGGTTGCAGACGAGCTCGCGCCTCGTTTACAAAAACTCCAAGCCTGACTTTGTCATCAGTACGCATAGGCCGCTCATGTGAGTACACGAGACATTTTCAATTCTTGGCTTGACATATTACCAGACTGACTTTTTCACCCAATCTTCTCGATTTTCTCAATAGGGAAGAGGAGGGCAGAGATCTGCTGGGCAAGAGAACGATGGACTTCAAGGTCAGCTACCTGGACGCGGGACTGACCAACAGCTACTTCTCGGACAGCGACAATTTGTCCGCGAGCGGGACCAACATCAGCACGTCGCAGATCAGCAGTCAACCGGCTCAGCAAGCGAGTCCACAGCAGCAACAGCAGCAGTCGCCACAGCCACCGACGCAGAGGGTCAATCGACGTTACAAGACCCAGCTGAGGGACTTCCTATCGACTTGTCGGAGTAAACGAAACAGTAAAAATGGTGAGACCGTAATCGTACGGAATCATAAAAATCAGAGAGATCGAAGAGAAACTTTGCTAACGATCGCGATACGATTCACAGCCCAAAACGCCACTAATCAGCAGACGGCCCAACTATCGCCCTTGTCTCCGGTCGGTACGCCAACGGCGCCAGGCCTCGGGGTCGCCCCGGTCGACTACTTGGCGCCCGACGGCGGAGCAGCCGCAGCGGCGGTCGTGGCGGCCTACGGAGGCCTCAACAGCGTGTACCCCGCGGCGGCGGCCAGTTACGCGCCCGCAGCGGCCAGCGTCGCCGACCCAGCCCTGGCTTCGTACCTCGGCCCGGCGGCCACCTATCACCATCAGGGCCTCTACGACAATCGGTATCTGGGCGCCGCGGAAAACATCTTCCAGTACCGACCGCTGGGCTCGTTCTATCCGGACTATCACGCGACGGCCGGCGCCAGCGCCTACAACGGCTTCGTCGACGTGGGCGGACTGCCGCCGACCTACGAGAGCCACCAGCAGCTCGGCACGTCCGCTGGTCCCGACTCGCCAAAGTTCGCCTACGGCGATTCGCGCTACGGCGTCGAGCCGAGCCTCGCGGTCGTCAGGGCCGGCAGCAGACACTCGCTCGAGGCGGCCTCGGCGTCCTCCAACTCGGCTGGCAGCTCGCCGGCGACCCATCACCCCAACGGCCTCGTGGGCTTGGCCCTAAAGCCGGAGGAGGTGAAGCACGAGCCGTACGGCGAAGCACCCCGACAGACGGTGCTGATGTGGGGCGCTCCACCGACGACACCCAACCGATCGTCGTCGTCGCCACCGCCAGCCCCGTCGGCGGTGGCCGTGACGCGCAGCAACGGCAACTACAGTCCTCCAGTGAGCAGTGGCTCGCACCTCGAGCTGAGGCTGGGCTCGTCCTCGGCCAGCCGCAGCGACCCCCTGAAAAGTCTTCAAGAGATGAACGCCATCAACGGCGACTCCAAGTGGAAACGTACCTCGCCGAACTGCGAGCCGAGTCCTCCTCGCAAAGGACTACATCTGCAGCAGCAGCAGCAGCAGCAGCACCAACAGCAGCAGCAGCAGCAACAGACGCATCAGGCGCAACAGCAACACTACCCGGTGGTGACTTCGACGCATTACTCGGGCTACGGACTGTCTCCTCATCAACAGCAAGCCCAACAGCATCAGCAGCAACAGCACCAGGGACAGCAGCCGGGAGGGCACTTGTCGAGCGAGCCGGGGCCCGAGGTATGGCAAGGAGTGCAACAACACCACTACCAGTACTATCCCTACCATCATCACCACCACGCTCATTCACCAACCGCACCAACACCACGGCACGCCTCCCAGTGAGTGTGTCACTGTTTTTAATTAATCTATAATATTTATCTGCTTTATCTTTCTTTCTTCTACAACTGAGGCTGCTTTCTTCTATCGATTAATCGACACAAAAAGTGCATAAAAAAGACGTAGCATGCACGATTTTTTTCAATGCCTCTAAAGGCTCTTTCGCGGAAACACACATTAACTTGTTAGCTCTTACGATGTTTGCCGCACGCCTCTATTACTTCTGGATTTTTGACGTTGTCTCTATATTCTTTTTGTTCAAGTGCGAGCACTTTTTTGAATTTATAAGGCCAATTGGCTATACTGCGATTAGTAACGCACATCCATTTATGGCGAATAGACCTGTGTGATAGGTGAGCACGATGTCTTGATGTCGCAGCAGCACCACCAGCACCACGTCGTCGTCGTCGTTGGCAACGGAGCAGGCACTGCTCACGCTGCCGTTGATGCCAGCTCGCTTCAATCCCGGCCAAGCAACGGACCACCCGAGCACCATCCACAGCGCCAGCAACAGCAACGTCGACAGCTCTTACTCGATCAGCAGCAGCAGCAGCAACAGCAGCTTGGCTCGGCCGCGTCCTTCTGTCTCACGGACGTCAAATCAATCGCAGGCAGTCCTCTCCTCTCCATCTCCGAGGTGACCAACACCCTGCTCAATCAGTAGGGGGGCTTCGCACGCTTCTAATGTGCCCCCCTCTGCAGATAATGCATCTTTCCAAATTTAAGTCCAGGTACTGAAACGCTACCGTTCTTGTTTTACCAATTTCTTCGAGCAAAAAATCATCGTAATTTTTTTACAGATATTTTTATTTTCAACAGATAAGACAAGCAGCTCACTAGAATAATTCACGAGTTCTCCGACAAATTACATCGGTTGCGGCTGTGCTCCGATTGATTTTTTCTCTTAGAGAATCCAGAATATTTTCTTCCTCTACAATTATATACAAGTAATATACAATTGTATACGTGTGAAAATATAGTCTTATGAAGCTGCTGCATTATACAATCCGCGCGTCAGTCGACCAAACCGAGCGATAGTTTTCCTCTGATCTATGTACCGATTATATACTTTGATCTTTCGTATGAAAATTTGTTGTACAATATATTAATTATTTCTTAAACGCGACAATTAATGATCAATGTACACATTCTGTGATATGTGCTAGCTAATTATTTTTCTATTTTCAATCGACGACCCCTCCTGCAAGAACGAGAAACGTCAAAGGTTTGGGTTCGATCGACGATAATAGAAACACGTGTATATTTTTTCGAATAACAAAATCAAGTGCAAATAGCGCGTTGTTTCTCAGGAGCAAAAAATGTAAGAAGAAATGCACCACACGCAAGTCTTGCCAGTTACTTTGACGATGAGAATATATCATATACATCGACGTGAATACGAAAATTGTGTTGCATTATTGTCAGTACTTAATTAGATCGTCGCGATCATGGGTATCGAGAGAAACGTCGAACTGAAGATATTATAACCGATCAATCCAGTCGTTGTTAGCCAAGCTAGATAGGGACACTTCCACGGAGACATAATAATATTATGAAAAATAAATTCATGTTCAAGCAGCCACTCGTATTATGCTAAGAAGAGTTTACATTGCTATTGCGCGCGCGTGTGCCTCGTCAATTCGACGATAATGCCGTTGATGAGACAAGACGCGAAAAATAGTCGATGATGAATTAAAAACTGTAAAATATATGCAATCACTAGCCGATTTTTAGCTATTCGATTTAATGTCTTATACGTACATTTTGTATTCTTCGTGAGAATGACATTTGTTAACTTATATTATATAAATGTAAGTAATGTGTGAGCAGACATCCTCGATTTCTCAATAGAACATTTTCGATCCAATAAGTGTGTATATTTTCTTCTTTGAATTATTTATAAACATGAACGTATAATTTGCGAACAAAGTATATTATATAGTTTATTACACTGTAAGCGTATAGTGCAGAGATATGTTAAAAGTTATGCATGTATAAAAAGCTCAGCAAGCCTAATGTATTATTATATGATAGAAACTCTAACGATAAGTACTCAAATCTAGTCCTCACATGTATCGACGCGAATTAAATGGTTTATTAGATTAATCCGTCATTACAATCGTACACGTTTACTGCTGGTCGAAAATTCGAGGTTCATCCTAAAGTGTACTAAGAAAAACTAATGTCTATGAAATTGGGTTATTGACAATGTAAATTTGTAGACGGCGCAACTCGAAAAAAAAGTTATTTGTTCCATTTAATACGTAGATAAACTTGAATTTTTAACTCGCAGTGTCTGCGTTACATAATATATTTATTAATATTTATGTATAAATTAGATTTTAATTACTTTAAAAGTATGAATGGGAAATTAAAAAAAGGAAATCAACGGCTTTTTATACAATTAGAAGAAAGTGAATTCAAAGTGCTTGAACTGTGATAATATGATCGCTCGTTTGCGCATAAAGTTTAAAACTTATATGAATACATAAGCGCACGCCTACATCCCGAATCGATCCATTATACTTGTCACAAATAACTTTTTGCATAATGCATGCGTAATACTTGATGTTTTGCGATTTTCAATCACTTCTTCCGATGATATTTATCTCCATTTTTATAGTAGTATATTCAGAATAGACTTCCTAACGTGTGACTTTGCAATGAGTTTTCCATTTCTCAAGATCTTTTGGGATCTCAGCTGGAACGTGCACTAATTGAGCCGACATTCGATCAAAAGTGCCGCAAACGTTTGTTCATCAGCAGCTATCAATAGAAATTCCCTCCTTGAAAAAATTATTCACATGAATTCGGGATTGTCCGGTTAAAGAGAAAAAAAGTTTCGCGGCAAACGAGATCGTTTTCACAGTTGCAGCGCGAGCTCGATAATTCCATATACAGAGAAATCATCCTTCATCATATGAAGCAAATAAAATATAAATATAGAAAACCACAGAATCGTCTGTATGTGGAATAAAATATATCTATGTTCACTCTTGTGTACGCGTATTCGCGTCTGCAATATAAATTGCAGCAGAGCAATGATATGTCCCTCTAATTTTTTTTCAAATTCTCCACTCCAATAAACTAGAAATGTGCAATTGTATATGCGATTATCGATTGAGCCAGTATTTGCTAAATGTTCACAATAATCACTACATCTGACAATTATTCCTCCTATTTGTCGCTCCAACTTTCTACAGCATTCCCTATGCTCCTATGCTATATACTCTACACTTATTAATTCCTCTGATTATACTATACATAGAATGAAAACATAATAAATGTGAAAGAATATAGCGATCTGATTGTTCATCAAAGAAAAAAACCATGAACGATAAAAGTTCGAAACTTCATGTCGCATATGAACTGGCCAAATCGTCGTAAAATTGAAAACTGAACTTTTCTTCGTTTCGTCATTCTAAGCAAATCGTACTTTCTATAAATTTAAAAAAATGAACGCTAAATGTCAAATTTAAATTTTACCTACTGCTAATTCTACGATTTAAAAAATTCACATTCTTGTGTCATTCGCTCTTCCTGAACGAAAGAACATTTTTAATGAATGTATCAAATGTTTATATAACTGCAATAAATTATGCTAGAATTTATCATAATCCATTGAGTCATAAATCTCTCATTTTCATTCCTTTTTTATTCCTATCTAAATAAAAACAAATTGAAATTGAAAATAATTTGTAATTTAAGTCAGTTTCTATAAATAATATATGACACCTTTTAATTTTTTATCGTGAAATTGTATAATTATTGAATAATATGTAACCACTGACGTGAGCAAGATGTGAAAAAACACATACACCAAAAATTAAAATCTAATTAGAATTTAGATAATCTAAATTTATAGTTTTATTTCCTGAAATAAAAGAAAACTACGTAATTTACGTATATGCTAAAATTGAAAAAAATTAAGAATTATTAACAAATTCATAGGTATTCCTTTTCAGCGAACAGGATAACATAAAAAATTCAAGTTTTAGGTTTATGTGTCGCGAATTTGCATGATTTTTCCTCGCGCAGTAACAACTAATAAATTCGTGTGCGAAATAACTTAAGGATCATAAATGGGAAGGTACAAAAGCACTAGATCTGTAAGAAAATCTATTCGTATCTACTTTAGTACTGGTTAAAAAATTGGGGCGATGGAGGCACGCTTAATGACAGCACTGCTCAACAGCTCAACTCGGGATTTTACAGCTAGCGCCATCTACTCGAGCTATAAACAATTAGATTTTCTTCTGCTCGTAAGCAGACGTAGGATTCAAGCGTCTGCTTCGAATCTATCGTAACCTCATTGTTGTGACTTCAGACTTCGGAGGGATTGTTTATTCTCATTTGAAATTTGAAATTGGTGACCTTTATCATTAATTGAAGTTATTTCAATTAAGATCAAAACTAAATGTAATCATTAAATAAAACGGTAAGGAATAATTAAAATCAATTTAATTAGTGAATAAACTGAAAAGTTACTGTATTATTATTTAGAAACTTCTACTTTTTAGGGTAATAAAAATACTGACTCTGACTAAATTTTTTTACAGAATTTTTTTAAGATGACCAAAATGGCTAAAATTTATCTAAGAGCATTTGGATCAGGCGAATTAAGCCATGTTCCTATTGAAACTTTGGTTGCATTATTTACAATAAAATATTGTGATTCTAATGTAGAGATATTTCTGGTTGAAAGTGAGAAAAAAGACAGTGAATATATTTATTTAGTTGACCTAACAATGTTTCAATACAAATTTATAAAATTTGATGATGTATCTAAGATTTCAAGGGCCTGTGAATTACCAAATTTAGAATTAGATGAAAAAAATTGTATAGCTGGATTGTGTGGAACACTGCGGCAAATTATAAAAAATATTTTAATAGATTCTCCAGACCATAGCAGTCGGAGTCTATTGGGTTTTAAAGAGCAGTGCCTGAGTGCTTGCTCTGAAGCTAGTATTTGGACTAAGTTTTGTGAGATAGACATCGTATCAATGGTTGGTTGTAAATTGACAGAAGATCAAGAAAATATGATACCTTTATCATTGGCTAAATTTGAAAATCATATGTCGCAACCAGTAAAATTACATAATCTATTTAAATATACAATGTCAAAAAAATTTGCTGGTGATAATGTGACTAAAGACAGAAAAGTTTTACCAGAACATACTTTTGCGGAAGGATTGTCTTTGACATTGGCAGATGTTATAATTTTTGTATGTATTCATATATACTTCAATTCAATTGATAGAACACTTGTTTCTGATAAGTTGCCTTTAACTATAAAATGGTATGAAAATATGCTCACAGATGAAAAAATTATGAAATCCTTAGAAATTTTGAGTAATGAATGTAAAAGATTATGTGAAAGTGTCTCAAGTTATAGTCTTCCTTGCATTGAAAATTATAGTTTGTATAAAAGTGATCCTAAACGCTACAAGCCAAAGAATCGTATCTACACTCATCAAAAAGATATAGATAACTCTTTAGAAAAAATCAGAAGTGGCAACATACAATTTGGCATTGATAAATTGTTTGCACAAGACCAAGAAATTGATTGGTCAAGTATTCCTTTGGATGCAACTCCTCAGGGTGGTGATTTACCAAATAAACGTTTAAAGAGAAAATTTGAACAACTTGAAAGTTTATGTAAACCAATTTTAAAATTGTCTAAAAAAGGAGATATCATTGTTGATTTTTGCTCCGGTGGTGGTCACCTAGGAATTCTCGTAGCATATTTGCTACCAGATTGCAAAGTTATCCTTTTAGAAAACAAAGCTTTATCAATGCAGAAAGCTAAAGAGAGAGTTGGTAGATTAGGTTTGAAAAATGTTATTTTTTATCAATGTAATTTAGATTATTTTAAAGGAAATTTCAATATTGGTGCATGTTTACATGCTTGTGGAGTAGCAACAGACTTAGTTCTTCAACAATGCATTAAAAGAAACGCTGCTTTTGTTTGCTGCCCATGTTGTTATGGATCTATTCAAGACTGTTCTCACATTGTTTATCCTAGAAGTCAATTGTTTGAAAATGTTTTAGAAAAAAGAAATTACTTTAATTTAGTACATGCATCTGATCAAACACATGATACTGAAAATGTTAAAACTAAACAAGGATATGAATGCATGACAATTGTTGATACTGACAGAAAAGTACAGGCAGAAGAAAGCGGTTACAAAGTTTACTTAAATAAATTGACTCCAGAAACTTGTTCTCCTAAAAATCATTTGTTAATAGGTTGGCCATGTAAATTAAATTATCGATTTTGTAATTCACCATTAACATAGCTTGTGCAACAAATAAATATAATGACATTCTACTTCTATCTCTATAAATCATTATTTATACCTGAGTTGGCTGAATGAAAAAATTAAAAAATATCCGTAATATTCCTTTATCATTTATTTACAGAACGTAAAAAGAAAGTTCTTGGATTATTACAGTGTCAACAATCGTCACTTTAGAGTTTAAATGTTAATTCAAGTTACAAGTATCATACAATCTAATGGTCACTTCAAAATAATTATTCTCGTGGAAATAATAAATTTAAAACGTACGATGATTGGAACATCACGAAATAACATGATTGCTACATTCATTGACATAATAAGATTTATTTATAAATACGAAATAATTAATATCAACACGCGATGTATTTACAAGAAATAGTCATACAAATCATACCGAACGTTTGGATGATCAATATCAATGTCTCCTTTGAACCATGAGATTAAATAGTCACTCATTAAAAAGGAACGACAACTCATGTCACAATTAGCCGTCGTTTTTTCCGTTCGTTTGCCAAAATAATTCAAACTACATTTATCGTTAAAAACTATAATCTATATAACGTTGACAATACTCAGAACGTTAACATATTGAGTTTATAGGCAGACGCGAATGATACTCATTAGGAATACATAGTGAAAAAAGACATACTTGTAAATACTGTTACGAATTAGACATAATCATAAATATTTAAAGTGAGAAAGGTATAAAGAGATGAATCGGTGTTCATGATAAAGGATTGAGATTATATAAGGAAGAATATATTGAAGATACTAGGAAAGAGGGCTGTAAGGAGCGAAATCGATTCCAACAGAAAGATTTGATAACAATTGATTATTGTATTCACTGTACCATAGATTTTATTCATAATTTTTTCAACTTAAAAACTGGTACTAAAAAACAACGCTGCACCAGTCCTCTTTATTTACTTTCTATAATGAAAATGTTCGCTTTTTTTAAAATTTATTTCGATTCAAATTGAGACTCATCCATGAAGAAACGTTTATCGCTTCTCAACTAAACAGCGTATTCTTTCGCTGCGAACACAAAAATCAGCACATAAAGTTGCGGTTTATTAGCTATATTTTTGCAGTTTATTATTATTTTTTTTGCGGCTCGTATTCGTATTTATATTTATAGATACATTCAATATATGTTTTTCTTTCGTCGTGCGCAGAAAACTTGTACAGGTCGAAAAAGCGAATTCTGAATCCGTTTCCGAGTTTATTTATTTATTTATTTTTTTGAACTTACGATTTACTAGTATATGCCTTCAACAGCGAATTCGTCTCATCTCCAGCTGCGTAATCCGAAAAGAAATCAAAGACAATAAGGCGATGATAATCTCTGACGGATAAATAAAAATAATCGTTCTAAAAAAGGTTTTCGCGATAGCAATTAAACGTAACGAAGTAAAACGCAACCGAATACAAGCGGATTATACTCGTATATATTACGAGCAAAAAGAATGCATTCTCGTTCCCGAAAGGTATAATAAAAGATTAATTATAGTTACCACTTAAAACTAATACAGACACATTGGGCCCTAGATACACGACACAAAAAGTATAGTATAAGTTACGATATTCGACGGTAATACAATATATAATCAAATATAGATATATAATATATTTATGTTTTAATTTATATGTAATACGGTGTATGTAGACGCAAATAAATAGCACTCGTAGCACTGTCGGTGATGATGAATGTAGTCGTATCGTGTATTATATGTATTTATCATCTTACTATCTGTATTGTGTATGTAACGCGCGTGTATGCTCTTGCCTCTTTTTTTACTCGTTTAGTGTTTATCCCATGTCGCTTGGATATTTCGCAGCTTTCAGTGTTATTGAAGAGTAGTAATCGTCGTTGTAGCTAAAGGTCGATACGCTTTTAGGTGATGGATCACGACTCGCCGTTGCCGCTATCGTCACCGTCCTCGTATTCGCTTCCGCTGAGGGGCTCGTCGTCGTCGTCGTCGTCGTCACCGAGCTCGTACTCGTCGTCGTAGAAGTCGGTGATGTCGAGCTGCTGCTCGGCCGGCCTCGCCCGCGTTTTGATGCAGTAATCCTCCAGGGTCAGGGGCACCACGATGCCCTCCTTTTCCGCCTCCATCTTTGCCGCTTGTGCTTGTTTTCTGCGAACACGACAAGACGCGCATTATAATAAACATAACGAATATGCGCGGAGAGCTCTTACGTGCGCACGAGCAGCACGTACTTATACGCTGCGCATTCGATAATTGCAAGCACGCAATATCCAGGCTAATTCATTCGAGGCTCTCGGCGCATAGAGTAGAGAGATCGCTTTGTAATTCAAATGATGATTCAAGTTCAATATTTAATTTTTAGACCCGACGCTTTCGATTCACTCGGACGATCGATTCATTCGTTTAATAACGACAAAAAAGAAAGAATAAGAAAAAACAGCAACCAAGACTACAAAGTTCGATGATTGTAAACTTTGCTGCTCAACGTGCGCGCACGTGAATCAATTGACGTCTCATTGTTGCTGCGCGACGATCGTCACAAGCTGCAACGCGAGCAGCTGTTTCAACGCGAGAGAGCTTGTTATTATACGATTTTCCGCGTGCGCACAAAGAGCAGCGAAGAATTAGCGACCAGTCGAGCCCGAGATAGAGAGATAGAACCGTAGATTATTATACAAACTTACCTGATGATATTCTCGTATTCTTTATCTCGACCTTTGGAATCGCGCCAGCGCCTGTACATGACCGATGCGTCTACGTTGGCCGGGCTGTAGGTGTTTGGCTCGTTCAAAAGAGAGATAACTGACAAAAGGATCGTTCTGAAAGGAAAAAAAGAAAACATTGTGTTACTCCAACGTTCGAGTAAAAATACATATTTCAAAAATCGGCGACAGGCCATTACGATAAATGTGCTGCACGTGCGGTAAATGTGCATTGCGTTGCGCCTACAACGTATATAATAAGTACAAATATACCGCATACCACTGTGCTCTTCGCAACGAATCCGCTCGCGCGATTTTTCGAATATCCGTTTGGCACACGCAGGAACGCGAGTCGCGTAAAATCGCTAGAGAGATACAAGAGTGTCTATGTAAGCCGTGCACGTATATAGCTCTCTCTCTCTCTCTCTCTCTCTCTCTCTCTCTCTCTCTCTCTTTCGTCGCATAAAGCATGCGCGGGACAGAGAAAGAGAGATCTCTTGCGCGTCGTCGGCGTGTTGTTTTATAAGCGCGGCGCGGGCATTACATAAAGTTTGAATTAAGCAGTGGCTTAAATAATCCGATCGAAAGGTACATTTTACATAATAGTTATGACAAACAGCCAAGCTGCGGCGGTGGTGGCAGAGATTCGAAGACAGCCCGATGCGAATGGCCGTGAGCGCGATAGCAAGTAGTAAGCAGCAACCAATTGATGCGTCTCAACAAGCTTGACAATCATGTTTTACGATTGTCACTTTTTTGAAGTTACCTCACGTTCTGGGTTGGGTTCCACCTTTCACAGGGAAGTTCTCCGCTTTGTGGGTCGTCGACCGGTGGATGTAGGATGGATATGCACAAGTCTCCATTCTAAAAAGAAAAACAAACAAGAGTTATTATATAGGTAATCGGAAATTAACGAGGTAGTAATGATTAGGCAAAGAGCGAGAGACTATCGAAAAAGAAAAGTACAAAGATGTCGATTCACAAGGAGCACAAGGAGCCGTTGTCATGAAAGCGCAACGTTGACGCGCGTTAAAAAAAGCCGCCACACGAGCTTCGCATTTCTGACTAGACTCGAGGTGATTCACTCGAAACGCAGGTAGATTGCGCGACGAGAGTCCAAGACAAAAGTAACTGTAATGAAAAGGTGGACGGCCTGTGCTGTGTGCCTGACTGTGCGGATAATGCATGTACAGGAAGACGAGCTGGTCGTGCAGATTTTTCCAAATTAACCGAAGCTTTTTTCTTTCATTTTTTTCTACAACTCGCAGCGAGAGCATTATTGCACGCGGCGATTCGCGCGTTATGCCGAGAGACAAAGCGAAATTTCTTCGCTTCGCTTTGGAGCGGCATGCGTGTTTGTTTTTCTCTCAACTCGTAAAACAGACGAAAAAGGCAGACGCTCTCGTCAAGCGAACGGAAGATACTTATTTCGAGTGATTAAGGCCGTCTATGCAGGCTCACGTGCGTCTATATGACAGTGCGCAGTGCAGCGCACCGCGAGACTCGTAAGCTCTGCAACAAAGAGGCAAGTTGGAGCGGGCTTCTCCGAAACTCGCGAGTTATTTCAAGAAGTTTCATCGTTTTCCGATATAACAGCGGCGCAGCGAGAGTCGTCGCTCTCGCTGCGCGGACAAAGACATTTTCATGGCACCCGAGAGACGAAAAAGAAGCCATCAGTGGTCGGTCGGTGGTTTATGGCTCGCGTTTTAGCCCGTCATCGTTGTCAAGTCGTCCGCTTGTCGAGTGCTGCAGTTCTTTGTCGATCGATGTACGCGTGCTCGCGGTGTCGATTAGCTCTCGAGGCTCTAATTAGTTTCTATACGTACAAATATCGTTCTATACATAATAGCGAGGCAACGTGCGAAGGAGGCATCGACATGTGCGTCGCCAGCGTCCTCGTGGCCGCGTCGAGCTTCATTGTTTATCCAAACGAATATTAAGGCGCGCTTTTGGCGTTACATCCCGAGTCGCGCGAGAAGTCGACGCCTGGCAAGGCCGTCGAGACAATGACATACGCGCATTTGCACACCTATATATGTGTATCGCGTTATAAGCACGATACGCACGAGCTCGCTTAGATTATTGGCGCTCGGTCGCTTTATTCTCGTGTTCGCAGAGGCAGAGATGGTCGTTTGCTCCGAGCGAGGCAGAAAGAGATGGAGCGAGGGAGATCAGCTGATCAGAACGAGTGACGTTTAATTTTCTCGCGCGAACGTCATCGACCGACTGGCGACTGCAGCGGAGCAAAGCTGATAACTCAATAGCGATAGTCGATCGATTCTCTAGCCATTTTTCGAGTTCAGCACGAGAGAGGAAGACGTCGTACAAGCGCGCAGTTCTTCCCTTCTCTCTCTCTCTCTCTCTCTCTCTCTCTCTTTCGATTACAATGTAACAGCACCGCGGAATTGTTTCCCGAAGCAGCGAACTCTCGCGCGGTAATTCACTGCGCATATAATAACAACCCGACACGTGCGCCTAATGCGTCGGCCAAAATAACGGAATGAAAACGCGAACGAAAAGAGCTGCAGTTGCCGAGCACTTCACGTGCTGCGCGTAAGCAAATATTTTTGCAAAGCTTCGGCTGCAAATTATATCGGCAACGGTGCTCGAATCAACTAATAAATCTTGACCAACGACTGCCCGCAAGGCTGGAAGTCGCGTTACGGGGGGTCGATGAAAAAAATACGCTCGTGATGATGAGTTTATAAAGACAGTTAAAATAAACGAGAAAACATCGAGGTATATACATAGGTAAGGTTGAAAATGGCTGATTACACTTACCTCGTAAACATTTGGATGCCAGACTTTTGTCATGAAACGAATGCTGGGCGGACTGTAGGGGTAATCCGGTGGGAACTTCATATGTGCCTGGAAAAACATTGTAAAAATTAATCTTCTGTATAACAGTGTTTACAAACGCGATTGATTCGCTTTGTCGGGGCATAATTGATAAATGACTGATTATAGATTTCTTTGCAGGATGATATTATTGATCGATCGTTTTCCGCTTGTTTTGTGTTGTACCTGTGTGCAATCCGCCGAAAAGTCATTAAACTGAACACGATTTCTTTGTTCTATTACTATAAATCCTTATTTAAACGGGTCAGTGTTTCAAGGGAAAAGTAATTCAAGTATACAAGGAAGGCCAAAGTATTGGATTATCCCTTGGAGCGAGCCAAGGGCCGTAGGTTGAATAGAGGAAAAAATATAATAATTCTCGTTGACAGCGCGCATCCGAGGCATCGCAGTCGCAGTCGCAGTCGCGACAAAGTGATAAACGGAGAGAGAAAGAGAAAAAGAAATAGTACAAGTGCTGGATGCGGGATGCAGAGAGTAGGAGGAGAGGAAGTCGACCTGGTCATGGCCCAAATATCCTAGTGTCTCCCTCCCCCTGGCCGCCACCTCGTCCTATTTATTTTCCCTCGGGGAAGACGTATACATGTATACATTTGCATCTCGTGGGCTGCTGCTACTACGAGTCGCTGCGATTGCGGGTGAGTTTTCTGCGCACCGATATAGTATACCGAGCCGTGCATATTCGAGCAGAGTTCGAGTCTCGGCTCGGTACGCGTGCACGGTGCATACACGTCTAGGTGTGCTAGCAGCGCATGTGTGTGTACTATCCGCGGGTGGGAAGGGGTCTAAGGAGAGACGGAGGAGGGAGGTTAACCTACTTTCGTCTCTATTATTCGCCCGAGTTTCGCTCGTGCATTCTGCACATACACACACACACACACTCGCGCATAAACGCACACATTGCAAACTATCACACGCCCACGTGATTGGCGTTGAGGCTCCTTGCATGCACGTACACGCGTCTCGTAAGCCGATGTGAGCATTGCACGGCTCGCGTGTGCTAGTATGTGTGCACAGGCATGCGAGCCAGGATAGATACTCTCGGTGCATGCACGAGGCTACACACGGACAACGGAGCATATAATGTGTACCTCTACGTATAATATATATAATACGTACATACGTAGGTACGGTTCGCGCGCCAAAGCTTTTCCCTCCTTTATCGTCCAGTCGACTCGGTCATTCGCGTGCAACGAACGCAGCAACCGCATGCGAGGCTCTCTCGTCGAGCTCTGCAGCCTATGTGCAACATATGCACTCTCTCATTGATCAAACGTCCAGATTCGCGCGGCTGTTTTCGCGCCAACGAGACTCGCGCGCGCGCGACCGACCGACCGATCTTCTCTCTAGCTCTATGACAGCCGACGCTAGAGCCACAACTACGAATGCGAAACGTCATCTTTCGATCGATGCAACTTTACACGACAAAATCCTTCTCTCGCTGATGCAATTATTTCTTTTTTTTCTTGAACAAAAGGCTCGGAAGTTTCGTGTGACTTTTGCGAGTCAAACGCAGAGTGTAGTTTAGAAAGCGACGCACTGTTTGAGCGAATTTCCTGGCTTCGCGTTCAAACGTCAGAAAGACGGACTGGAGAAAGTGAATTCAAGCTAGGTTGCGACGAGGATCGGACTTTGCGTGTTTACGCTAATGTTTAGGATCTATATATATATATATTTACACGATACACAATCGATTGTGAGAGTGGACTATTTTTTTGAAATTGGATTGAATTTAAAGTAGACGTCGTGCGCCGCTAACGACCTCTGAGCGCGAAACCGCTGCTGCTGCTGGTAATCGAAGCGGAGCAGCTGTCACATTCAATACATACATTCGCGATTGGCGTACACACATACACACTCTGCGATCAACATAAGATGCAGGGGAAGTTGAGACTTGCTCGACACGTTGTTGGTGGGGAGTTTCGATGCACACTTGGTGTGTGTGTTTGTTTGTGTGTGTGAGTGAGAGAGAGAGGGAAAGATCCGTGCGCGCACACCAAGTGCACGAAATGGATGGGATGGAAGGTTCTACGCGAAAGAGAAAGCGTTTCGCCATGCACTCTTCTGACTGCAAACTATATAGCTTTATGCGCGCGCACGTGCATATGTGTATGTGAGCGGTGCACGTGTGTGTGTGTGTGTGTGTGCATTGTGCATGAGTACACATGCACGTCTATACGTCTCTCTCTTTTTCCATACATACATGTTAGGTTAAGTGCGCAGATATACAAGAGAGTGGATGAGAGAAAAAAGAACGAGTGCTAGGTGTATATGCAGTATAAGATAGCAAACAATTGCGACTAACCTTAAAATATCCACCCTGGTAGAGGGTATCGGGTGGTCCGAATATGGCAACCTCCCACTCGAACATGTTGTCCTCGCTGACGAGTTTGACGCGAAAACCCTCGACGGGCTCCTCCTGCAGGCTTTTGTACTCGAGGGCGAGAGCGCGCAGGGCACTGCTCGTTGGCTGCGCCATTGCTTGTATTTTGTTGTGTTGTGTGTTGTATATATATAGCTCTGGTTTTGTTGCGAGTCTCGGACTCAGAGCACGCTATAATGCACGGACAGCTTCTAGACTGCTGCTCTGCAGCTGCTTCTGCTCTCTGCGAGAGTACAATATTATTAAGTATAAAGTATATATATGAGAGATGATTGTATGAGCTGTGATCTCGTCCGTGCACGACTGCAACTGCCTGTGTACTTCGGTTTCGACGACGACGTGAACGAAGACATAAAAGAAAATAAAAAAGCGAGAGCCAGCGATGTATTAAACGGTATCGAATGCACGCGCACGATCAATCGCGCAACGACTTTTCCGAGATGGAACGCGCTTTTCCTGGCTTCTTTCGAAGTAGTTAATTTTCATATATCTGCTTCGTGAAGCAGTAAGCTAGCACGATTTAAATCGACGCGTTGATGCAGCACTGCTAGCCACAGGCAGGCAGTCGGACGGACAGACAGAGCTGGCTTTGGCTCGCATACAACACGCACCAATGTGTAACACACTCGTTGCTGCTACTGCCGTACTAGCTTCATATACGTATTGCCGTTGCTGCAGTGCGAAATGCGAATCGACCAACGGCACGGGGATATTCAGCACAGAACGACGAAACAGTGATCACGCACACTATAAGAGTATATAAGTGTAATACAAGAGACACTGGCTCGGCACAAGGCACAGCGCGCACTTGCTCAACGGTTTTTCACTTTATTAAATGTTGGATTTTCCTCTTTACGCTGCTGTATCTGCACGATTATCAATTTCAGGGAAGAAACTGTTGCATCCTCGAGGTTAACTGATTCGATTGGCAGCGCGAGAGAAAAAAAACAAACACCGTGAGTCTAAACGACGACGTTGTTTTCTATATGCTAACGAACGACACAACGCTTCGACGACAGCAACGACTGGACAGTGGACCGTCTCTGTCTCTCTCTCTGTCTCTTTCTCTGCGTGCTACTGTTGTGCTCGAAGAGAAAAGTCAAAACACGGGGCTGTGTGTGCTGTGCGCGATCGACAACGACGGACGGGAGTCTGCGTGTCGAGTCGAGACTCGAGAGCAACGAGAAAGCCAGCGGACTTTACTACGGTATAGGCAACTAAGCTTTGCGCACCAGCGACAGACTCACAGGCTGCCTGCTCTGCTGCTGCTGCTGCTTCTATATACCGTGCTCATAACTATACGTATAGCACATGCTATATATACCTGTATATATATATATATATCGTCTTGTGTCGCTGCTGTTTCGCATATATGTATCTACTGCTCCCCCTTCTACACCCCTCGCCAATATATAAGAGCCGTATTCGCGCTAACTTTATATACCATTAGCCCCCTCTTTCGCAAGCATTCACCAGTCGACGTACAACACCAACACTTGTGTATGACACGCTGAGAACGTGTATAAGACGTGCGGATTTTGTTTTTCTTTATGCACGCTCTGAATTAACCGTTTACTCGAGCTACCTATTCATCATTTACATTCAACTTAACTTACAAGACTAGACAGCATCGAGTTCGTAATTCGTACTCCCGCGATTCGAATTTAAAATCGACGCAAGACAAAAAAACACTCGTGCGAATTCACTTTTTCTTATACTTTGATGCTCAACTGCTGTCGTAAACCTCGGCCAATAATATTCATTTTCGATTCTCAGTAACCCATCGCTTCTTTGCTGGCATTTTGACGTTTCATAATTTCCGTTATTTCTATTCTGTCACTTCATCCGATCGAATGAAAAGAAAAAGAAACTGATTTGGTCGCGTCCGCCGTCGATCGCCGTTTGACGTCTTTGTTGAAGTTGTGCTTACGTACATTATTAGAGCATAGGATCGATTACGAAACCTAAATATATTGCGTTGTTAAAACAATTTTTAAAAACTTATTCAACCATCAGTTTTCGGTGCCAGTATTTCGTTGTCGCCTTTCAAAAGCATTTGCAAACTGAACAAAATCCAATGTATAAAATGATTCTAAATTTATGATCAAAATTATAAATAACAGTTGACAGTTATGTGAAAGAAGTATTAGGGATTAATGTAAAAATTTTCAAGTAATTAAATTACCAAAATATTACTGGTTGATATTCAATTAACGCAAACTTTCGAATTCAATTGACGCACGTCGATAGCAACGCAATGACCAATATCTATATCCGATAATGATATCGATTTTCATCAGTTAACTACCAATGGTAAGTATGATTTTCAATCATTTCAATAATTAACAATCGAAAATGCAGAAATCTTTTTAAGATCAGTAAAACAATTCAAAAAAAGTACCTCCGCTTTGACTTCATCATGTATAGAAATCAGATGATTAAAACTTTTTCAAGATCAATTTTTGCATCAATTCAATCTCTGTACGAGTCGTATTATTTGCATCATGCTTCGTAAGCGCTTATAAAATTATTTCAGTCAGTGATAAAAAGTAAGCGAATATTCTGGAAGATGTACAAAAACCTGCAAATCATTACGATACGCATATATGATAATATCAGCGCCATGTCGACTTCTATACGTCGCTTATAAGCAGTTTGCCGCACGACAAAACGACGCCGGACGGTCACGCACACAAATACACGCCCCGATCGTGTCTGTGACTCTACGCCGATGCGCATCTCGCGGAGAAACAACTGACGACGTATACAGTATACACCAACTGCTATCATAATACAAAGTACTTGCCACAAAACAATTCGTATTTCAATACTATACGCGTGTGCTATAGCAGAGACGTCTAGTCTATTCCTTTATATTATATTTATTAAAGGTATTTGGCAAAGATTTTGAACCAGCGAGCATCAGAATCGAAATAATTTTGCTTTCTAAGTATAGGTGCTGTTAAAAAACGACGCTATTATGGCCATACCCTACAATGAAGAAATCATGAAGATCTTCGGATTTTGGACCGGCGTTCTGACCTTGAAACTGTTGGCGATGTCTTTTCTCACTGCTAGGACTAGATTCAGAAAGAAGGTAGGCAAATATCATAATTTTTAATAATCTTTAGAAATATTTCAACAAATTTGCAAGTGCAAAAATGTTTACTCCACATCTTACATAATTTCATGGACTGACTAGCACGTTGAATTACAAAGTTAATAGCATATCATTCATAATGCCTCGCTGCCATGAATAGATTATATACATTGAAAATTTTCCTATACCTTAATTTGTCCTGTTTTGTTTATTCTAAAATACTTATTTTTATCTTCATATCACCTTATCTGTTTTTATACATTGCTTGAGTTTGTTATTTAAAACCCTAATTTATTAAAGCAGATAAATTAATACATAAAAATTTGTATTGTAGTGATATAATTTTTATTAAAATTTATTATTTTTAAGGTCTTTGCAAATCACGAAGATGCTTTAATGCTGAAGAAAGCCAGAGTAGCATATGACGATGAAGATGTTGAACGTGTTAGACGCTCCCATCTCAATGATTTGGAAAATATCTTGCCTTGGGTAGCCATTACCTACATATATCTTGGAACTGGACCATCAAACTTTTTAGCTGGTTTACTAATCAGAGCATTTGTATTGTCAAGAATTGGACACACTCTTTCGTACGCTATTTTCCCTAAACAACCTTTCCGTGCTATATCCTTTTTTATTGGCTATGGATTAACAGCTTTTGAAGCTGGTGCTACTATTATGCATTACATGTAATGTAAAAAAACAAGTAATAATGTTGGTCTAGGATTATTTTTGATACATAATTTTGCAAATGATGTTTTATACTTCAGACGTGTTCTAAAGTAGGTAGTTGAAGTATTTTTGTGAAGAAAATGATTTTTTGACAATATTTTTCATGGAAAGATAAATATCTTTATTAGTTTGTGTTGTGTATGAAAGTGGTTTATACATTCAAAATAGTATAAAAACTAAGAACAAAAATATGTTTAAATGTTTTCAAAGTACAAATTTAAATAAAAAATTTATATACATTAAAACAGTAAATTTGGTTGTTTAAGTATGTGTCAATGTGACGACCCACTGAATAAACTAATTTTCAATCATTGGCAAGCTGCAATTGCAGCGTGTAGTTACATAATCTTAGAGGTAAAATAATCATGAAACAAAATGAAAAAAATTCTCACGTCCATTAATAGTCGGTGCATAGAACGTGTGCGGGTAATATGTATACGATACGATCACAACTAAGATCATAAGGCAAATAGCCGGCTGCACGATAATGATATCAAGCCGGTAGAAAATTTTTACGCAACAGCTGTTTATCACAGAGATCAGGAGAGGTGAAATAATCAGATATAAATAATAATCATAACAATTAGACCAAAAAGAAAAAAAACAAAAACAGCGGGAGATCGGGACCGATAAGAGATTTCTAGTGCCACGGGTGGAAAGTGCGTCGACAGTCGAAAAATGAACACTGACTGTTATGCACAGGTACAGTAGCCGCGTGTGTCGGCCGAGCCTACCCTAGTCAGCAGAGGCGGTGCATAAATTGTTTCGAGGTATAACCATGACAACGATAGCCAAAGCTCGTACAGACATCATACACAAGCAAAAGCTCGTATGAAGTCTGCAGTAGTACGTAAATGTACACAGAAAGTATAAAACGATGTATTGGCATCGCGCATACATCGAAAGCGATCGAGTCGGCGCGTGATGGGCATTCGGCGAATTTCACCACCACCCCTTTGTGATGTGCAATGTGTGCCTGCTGTATACGTATGAGTGCGATGTGTGCAGTGCCAAAGCTCGCGTGATGCCTGCACAACTCGCGCTTACATCGCGAAAAGCTCGATCATGCGATTCGCCACGACGCTTTAGTAGGCCAGTATAACGCGGCTCGCGTCTCTACCTTACGTATACAGTATACACATTACCGAGTTTTAGCGTAGTTTTGACCCCACGAAAATAAGTTGAGATTTGATTATAAACAATCGGCGCGATTGGATACTATATGGATCCAGTGATGTTGATGGTACAATATGCATCGGGAATCGCAACAACAGGTACGACGACTCGCTGGTAGGTCGAGTCCGAGCGTAGTCAACAACAGCAACAGCAGCGATGCAGGTCCAATCGAGCTTTTGCACAGACAGTAAGTATCACGCGGCCTTGTTAATGTGTGTTCACTTTGTATTACTCGCATGTATAGCTTATTTTGGTTTCTTCTGTATATTCGGTCCGCACCGCGTGTACAATTTTCAATATCGGCCATGTGGCTTTCAGAGCTTTAATGCGTGCATGTTGTTCATACATATTATTGTATACACGTGGTGAAAACAACGACAACGACGAGGTAAATGTTTAAAATCGGTAAAGTGAATAATCGCGAATCCCTTCTATGGATTATAGCACGCCGTCACAATCTGTTGATTCATAATTTTTTTATCCATATTCATGAAATGCATTGTAAGATCCTCGTCGCGTCGTGTGGCCAGCCCCTCGCCATGTGCTGGCTGAATCATTAGTTTTATTTTTGACCGATGAAATCGATCATTTTATCAAATCGAGGATCGTACCTACATCATTATTAGCGAATTTTTATTGATGCTCGTCCGCGAGCACGAGGATTTATATTATTTTTTTTGACATAGTGTGTATCGTCTGCGGTCTCGTAATTTTTAAAAGTTGCTTCATCTCGTCATAATTGTATTGCATTATTTCTTCGTCTTGCATGCATGTCTCATCATTCTCGTTATTTTATTGCAAGTGTCTCATTGTTTGGCAAATGACACGATTTCTATTTTTCGACAAAAAACAAATTTCCGTTAATTTTTTACGATTGCCTTTTCACACCCTCTATTTGGACTTCCTTGTTAGTTATAAATAAATTGTTGTTTAACTTGTTCATTTCGCTAGTCATGAATCGTATTTTTGAAAAATATAAATAAAAGACTCGTCTATTTAACACGTTCTTCTCTGTCGATCGACTCTGATTCTTTGACTTTGAGTACAGCATATACACGAAAATAGTTTTTAACAGCGATGATTATCAAAGCCAGTCAAACTTGGCAAGGATACACCCGTTAAATAAACTTCTTCCAAATCGTACGTAGGAATAGGAGATTTAGCCCTGCAGAGACGCCAAAACTTATCGGAGCGGAATTAATCGTGCTATCATTTTGTACCTCTGATAAGGTCTAGTTCAATCGATTTTCCCGCCTGCCTACAACTACACTTAACAGGGCATCCAGGTGGAGATCGGCTTTTATTTATTTTATTGCGCGAATACAAAAGCGATCGCTCGTCCAGAAAATCAGTGCAAAGATTTTCACCTTCGATTTAGTAATTCGAGACAAAATTGGCTGTGGCTTTAGGCCGAAAAGCCTGAATCATACGCGGAATTATTTATTAACTGCGCACCTATTTTCAATTTGCATGGAGATTGAACTATATTCGTGCGTGATGTAAGCGATGGATCAAACGTGTAAAAATCATCATGCAATTAGATCAGAGCGCGTTTTTAACGAGGGCCGGTCTGAATCTTCAATCGCCGGTGTACACAAAGTCGAGCTAGATTTTAAGTATTGAATCTAATTATTAAGTGCTAGATCATTTTGATGTTCTAACCAACTTTAATGATACGGTTGTCGATCATATTTCGATTCACAAAAGAATCTTAGATGTCCGGGGAGAAGAAGCGATGTTATCGATAAAAAAATTGAATAAGTGCAAATTTCCAAATGCATTTATAATTTATGTAACCGAAAGGCACGCTGGCAGATTTCAAAGCAGAAAAATAGTTAACGAACAAACGCGAAAGATGTATTATTATTATTGTGCCGCAATTTCTCCGCGTGTAATGGCATTTTTAGCATCAAATTATGACCATCTGCAACTATGAAATATACACATGACGTCTTACAATGCTCTACTCTCCAGCCTGACCTTGACAGATCGAGTGCATAAATATAGTGCACGTACTATTATAACCACTATGACTAGTCGTGTGCGATTCTATCCTACATAAATACGCCATCGATGTAGAGGTATCAGAAAAGAAAGATCGATAAAATTTCCGGAAGGATAACTTATAAAGAAAGAGCAGAAGGAAAAAAGTGCAAGTGCGGGAATGGGAGTATAATCAAGGTAAGGCCCTGACGCGGCCCGTGGCATTGCAGTCGCGACCAGCCACCGAACATCCTGTATGTAAATCGATGTGCAGAATTTTCACATTCGAATATAAACGCATCGGAGGCCGGATCGTGCGCGTGACCATATATACAAGTGTATATTATTGGTAAAAATAAGGCTTTTGTACGTAGATCGTGGAGACGTGATACGTATATCGTACGTGTACGCGAGCAACTTCCAGGCCAGCAAAAAAATCGGTACCAGGGGTATAGCGCAGAGCCTTATAGTCGATTTGTAGGAAATATGTGTCACGATTCACGTTGTCACTTAAAAATAGTTTCAAGTATAATACAGGTGACAAAAAAAGACCAAGTAAAATCGTTAAAGGACACTTCAAGTGGGGTCGAGCGCGTGCCCGAATCGGCGATCTTGAGCTGCATCCGCGCACGCATATATATTATCAATTCAGCTTTCGCGGACACGATCGGCTTAAGATCGATCGAGATACTTTCGATCGGGCTTCGAGCTGGCTACACGACGAGATTCGACAAGTTACCAGAAATACATTAAGCATACAATTAAGTTTATGCTCGTCAAGTGCGCAAATATACGGCTTAATAATATATTCGAGAGAGGCAAGGATAAAGGGGAGCACAGCACACACACACACACGCTCAATCTGAACTTGGTTTTTCTTTTTGTGCTGGTATACAGTCGTGGCTCGTGAGAGCCAGGCGAGAATCCAGAGAGATACGGCAGAAATGAGAAATGACCTCGATGTCGGAGCGCAGAAGAGCTCTGGTTAGTGTCAGGGACGAATATGGTAAAGAACTCGAGGCTCGACACATCTTCTCGATGCACATACACAACATTGCTCATAATGTAGATCGCTCACTGGAAATTATGCATTCCACTATTAAACAATGTCATCGTGTGTAGCGCGACAATCGATGTGAAATACTTTTTAATTTGGATCATGCTCGGAAAGACCCGCGCGCGAGCATAAACATGCACCGCTATTATCACGGCGTGGGTGGGATATGTGTTTTTTATTTACCAATTTGCAATTGCGATGTATTATTAGGAATGAGCAGCTGTCGGCGCGTCGAAAACAAAAAAATAAATAAAAAAAAACTCGCTCGTCGCTGCATCGCAAAGTGCAAATAATGTATGTACGAGGAGCGCGACGGGCTCGGTAAACAGCTTCCAAGTCCAATTGGCCGAGGCAAATTGCTCGTCAAGTGTGAGAAGTCGAGCAACGAGCATATTTCAGGCTTCGCACAAGCTCGTACGTCGACAAAAGGTACATAACGCGCATAATATTATCAAGAGCCCGAGCGCGGCCCGGTGGCGACTGATTCCATTATCGAGTTTGCTCTCCTCCGTCTCGAGGTATTTAACACTTGTTGCAGAGAGCATCGAGTTGCAAAAGCCCACAATTCGTTGGATTGTGAAATCCAAGCGAAATTCGGCTTCGTTCCCCATGTGCTTCGTGCGCGAGTCAACAGTAGCGACTCTCAAATGTCGGCCATTTGTAAAAATCGACACTTCCGAATCAAGAGCTTTTTATTGCGTGTTTGTCTTTGAATATTTGCGAAAAAATATCGACGCAGCGCAAATGATCGGCGAGCGAGTCAAAAATAGCCCGTGACTCAGCTTCGCAGTGCGCTGCGTGGAGGCGCGCAGGAACTCGGCGATATACAGAGAATCCCTTTTTCCTTCGAAAAATTCGCGTGTCCCTCCTGGCTACTCTTCTCTTTTTTTTTTATTCTGTTGCGGCTCGCCGAACATAATAAATTGCGCGTCTGCATGCACAATGGCGAAAACCTTGGCAGTCGTCTGTGGACACACGCCGCGCGCCGGTCTCTCGCTCTCGACTCTCTCGAT